TTCTTTGCAAATCCTCCCATTAAAAAAAATCTATTTCTCCATACCTTGAATTCAGGCTAGCCTTGTGATTTGTTTTGATCAATAAATGATATGCTGTAAGAATTTTAATCCAAGGCCACAAAAGATCTTACAGCTTCCACTCTCCTTTTTCTGGAAACCTTTCCACCACTATATGAACAAGCCCAGATTAGCCCAATGGATAATGGGAAAAACATGGCTACTTTCCCAGTTGACATTAAGCCAACTGCCAAATATATAAAAGAGAGACTATTAGACCAACCTGCCTGCCAACTACAGACATGCACGAGTCCTTTATAGATTATCCAGTCCCAGCCACATTGGCCCAAACTACAAGAACTACCCAGATAACCCACAGAATCATGAGAAATACTGAACATTTGTTGTTTTAAAGCATTACAACTTAAGATGGTTTACAGTGCAGCAAAAACTAACTGCTTCAAGAATGTGTCTGTTGAAAGACAATTTTACTGGATGTAATTAAATAACTGTTTGTGGTCAACAGTTATTTTCTCTTAACACTGAAGATAACATTCAATGTCTTCCGGCTTCCATTGCTGCTGTGATAAATCAGCTGTTAGGTTAATTGTAATTTCTTTGCATAGGATCTCTTGTTCTCTCTGGCTGATTTTAATATAGTTTCTTGGTTTCTGTATTCTATATTTTAACTATGTTTAGGCTGGATATAAATTTTTTTTTTTTTTGAGACAGAGTTTCGCTCTTGTTACCCAGGCTGGAGTGCAATGGTGCGATCTCGGCTCACTGCAAACTCCGCCTCCTGGGTTCAGGCAATTCTCCTGCCTCAGCCTCCTGAGTAGCTGGGATTACAGGCATGTGCCACCATGCCCTCTTTTATTCTTCCTAGATCCAACTAGACATCCAGAATTGAGAGTTACTACTATGTTTCATAAATTCTGGGGTTTTGTTTTGTTTCATAAATTCTGAACTCTTCAATAACTATTTCCTTCTTCCCCAAGTTATCTCCATTCTAGAATTCAAATCAGACTTTTTGTTGATATCAGTTTCATATTTTCCACATATTTACATCTTTGTGTACATTTTGTATAAATTTGTTCAGTTTTATCGTCAAGATCACTTATTCACTCTTTAGTTTTATTGAATCTATTTAAGCCCACCTAAATGGATCTATGATTTCAATTATAAAATCTTGAAAAAGATTAAATGAACCTTTTTAAAATCTTCCCAGTCAATTCTGAGAGTCTCTTGTGCCTTTTTAATATTTTAAAATAATTATTTACTTAAATATATTTAAAGTACTTATGTTCTAAATCTGATTGGTAGTCCTTTTCAGCTCTGCAGTTTGTTTTGCCATGTTTGTTGATTTATGACTGGAACTGAAACTTTACCTGTAGAAATATTTTGAGGCCTAGATTTTGAAAGCTAATTCCTCTAAAAACAATTAGTTGATGCATGCTTTTGCTAGGTACCTATGGCCACTGCAAATCTACAACCACTTTAAACTAAACTTTTGGAATCTTTTGAAGCACATGTATAGTACGTAAGCTTATGGCTGGGAATTCTCTGAATATACACTGAGTGAACAGCATAACACGTAAATTATACCTCAATAAAGCTCTTTTTCTTTTTTTTTTTCTCTCTTTACTTCTTCCTGTTTCCTACCTGATATTTCCCTGCCAGAGCCAAAGTTGCAGCAGACAAATATCACTACCCCTTCTAATATTACTCTCATGAAATCTGGTGTTAGGGATTTATGCAGGAGTGTTTCCACCCTGCTTGTGTGCCAAGCTCTTTTCCTTGTAGCCCATTAAAACCAGAATAAGCAACAGCACTAATGTAAAATTAGCTGCAGAACACTTACTCCTGTGAAATTATTATTTCTTCACATTTCTTGGCTAAATTCATATCAACTGACCATGCCTAGAAGGTATTTCCCTGAATGTATAAATCATTATGTTAGTAGTAGTCTTCTTAATAGCAGAAATAATTTGCTCATGCAGGATAAAGGAAGGCTGTTCTTAAAGAACAAAATGCAAGAGAAATAATTTTCAAAAATATATCCATTTCTATAATTAGCTAAAGTAAAACTATCATTTCTGACTCTTTCTAAATTTTTGTGACCTCAAGTTCTTCCTCACTTTAAATCTGGACTTATCATAGATTAATCAGATGTATATAATTATTACTTTAAAATTTTTAGTGAGACCTGAACAAATAAGAGCTAAAGAAAAGAGTTGCACAAACAAATCCTTCTATATTTTATTTCTCTATGAGAGAAATAACAAACTTGTAACTTTTATTAATCAAGAAGATTGTAAGTAAAGCTACAATGAGACACCACTTCACAACCACTAGAATGGCTATGATCAAAAAAAAAAAAAAACAGATAATAACAAATGTTGGTGAGAATGTGGAGAAATTAGGATCATCCTAACTTGCTGTTGGTAATGTAAAATAAATGGTGCAGCTGCTTTAGAAAACAGTCTGGATAATTCCTCCAAAAGTTAAACATGGAGTTACTATACTAACCATAATTCCTATCTTACGCATATACCCAAGAGAAATGAAAACATACATCCCACAAAAATCTATATACAAATTATGTACATAGTTCATAATAGCCAAAATGTGGAAACAACCCAATGTTCATTAACTGATTAATGGAGAAACAGAATGTAGCATAAAATAAAAAGAAATGGTAGTACTGACACATGTTACAGCATAGATAAACCTTAGAAACATTATGAAAACTAAGTTTAAAAAAACAGACAAAAAGGACTACATATTGCGTGATTCCGTTTATAGGAAATACTCAGAATGAGCAAACAGGTAAACAGAGAAAGTAGATTAGTGGTTGCCTAGGGCTGGAGGAAGTGGGGAAAACAGGGAATGACTACTGACAAATATGAGATTTCTTTTTGGGATGATGAAAGTACTCTAAAATTTATTGTAATAATAGTTGCACAGATCTGAGAATATACTAAAATCCACTAAACTGTATGCTTGGTGAACTGGGTGAATTCACTGAATTGTATACTAAATATACACTGAGTGAACAGCATAACGTGAATTATACCTCAAAAAAGCTATTTTTATTTTCAAAGTAGAAAAGGCTCACTGACTGATAAATGGATAAATAAAATGTGGTATATCCACACAGTGGAATATTGTTCAGTCATATAAAGAAATGAACTATTCATATATGCTGTAACATAGATGAATGTTGAAAACAGTATGTTATATGAAGAAACCAGACACAAATGGCCACATATAATTCCACTTACATGAAATATTCAGAATGGGTGAGCTCAAAGAGACAGAAAAGAAAATTAGAGGCTGAAAAGATTGTCAGGGGCTGAGAAAAAATAATACTCATAGTAATGAGTATTGTTATAGCCTGAACAGTATCACCCCTCGAAATTCACATTGGAGCCCTAACCCCCAATGTGACTGTAATTGGAAATAAGCCTTTTAAGTGCTTATTAAGGTTAAATGAGGTCCGAAGAGTGAGGCACTAATCCCATGGAAATGGTATCCATATGAGAAGAGCAAGAAATACCAGAGACCTCTCTCTCTGTGCACACACAAACGAAAAGTCACGTGAGAACACAACAAGCAGCAGTCATCTGCAAGCCAGGAAGAGATGCCTCATCAGAAACCAAACCACTGGCACCCTGATCTTTGACTTTCAGCCTCTACAACTGTGAGAAATAAATTTCTATTGTTTCAGCTACCCAGTCTATGGTATGTTTTTCGTAGCAGCCTGAGCAGACTAATACAGGTACGGAGTTTCATTCTGGGGTAATGAGTATGTTCTCAAGTAAAATAGTAATGACAGCTGTGCAACTTTGTGTATATACACCACAAACTTGTACACTTCAAAAGGGTTAATTTTCTGATATATAAATTAGATCACAAAAAAGCTATTAAAAAACAAAATACGATTATAAGAACTGATTTTAGGTGTCCTGTTATTCAAAAGATTCAATACACTTCATCTATCTAACATGTTTCTGAATAAATCTAACTAAATACACAAAGCCTTACCTTTCAAGGAAAGAAATTGCCAGAATTATATATAGACATGGTCTGACACTATGAGTTGCTTCTTTCAGAAAGCTCTATGAATTGAAACTTCTTTTTCCTTAAGTCAGAACTAATACTTAAACTTCTAATATTAATATGACATAATAAAAAGGACAGTTTGTTTTTCAGTTACCGATAACATAATAATGGGCATATCAATCTCTACTAATCTTTTTTAATCATGGTTTCCTCATTTGTAAAATGAACAAAATAGTATCTCCCTTATAGTATTACTCTGAAGACAGCATGAAATAAGAAAAAGCACTTTGTAAAGCATAATATAAGATATATCACCTCAATGATGTTAGCAGAAGTCAGATCTAACTTTTTTAAAGAAGATAAAAATATGTATTTCAAAGTCTTCAAAAATCAAAGCCTATCTGTCTTCAGAGAATTACTCTGAAGACAGCATAAAATAAGGGAAAGCACTTTGTAAAGCAGAATGTAAATGTAAGATTTATCACCTCAATGATGTTAGTAGAAATCAGATCTAACTTTTTTAAAGAATGAAAAAAATACAGATTTCAAAATCCTCAAAAATCAAAGCCTACTGTAAAATCAACTTGTTGATTTTATATTTGTTACACAGCAAGCTTAGCTTCATATAAATGTTAGGCTTAGAACAGTAGGATTAGCTTCATACATAGGTTTGAATACTGAATAGCACTTAAAATGACATACCGAATTTAAAAGCTGACTTTATGTTTGTTACACAGTAGGGTTAGCTTCACATATATGTTAGGCTTAGCACAGTAGGCTCAGCTTCATATATACGTTTGAATGCTGAATAGCATTTAAAATGATATACAGAACAATATTTCTCAAAAGGACACAAATGCAACTATAAAATCTACTCAGATTTTGTTACACCAGTACTAAAATCTTACCCAGGATAAGTAAAAGACATAAATACTCACTTCAGCGATAAGCATTTTACAAGAAGTCTTTGACCAAAATGTTCTTTGGGTACATCAGGAACACTAAGCCGTTCTATTGGTTCTTCCTACAAATTGACAAGCAACACTCAAATGAATAGGCTTCTCATATTCCAGCCGTTTCATTTTATCTTTTTAAGAACTTACTTTACTAATCTAATACTTTTAATCTGCACAATAGAACACAGAAAAGAATGACCTATCTACAGACAAAAGTTACTCTGACCAGGCCCGGTGGCTCATGCCTGTAATCCCAGCACTTTGGGAGGCCAACGAGGGCAGATCATCTGAGGTTGGGAGTTCAAGACTAGCCTGACCAACATGGAGAAACCCTGTTTCTACAAAAACACAAAATTAGCCAGGCATAGTGGTGCATGCCTGTAATCCCAGCAACTTGGGAGGCTGAGTCAGGAGAATCACTTGAACCCAGGAGGCAGAGGTTGACGTAGGCCTAGATCATGCCATTGCACTCCAGCCTGGCCAACAAGAGTGAAACTTGGTCTCAAAAAATAAAATAAAATAAAATAAAAATAAATTCACTAGTATAAAATGTATTCATTTATAAAAATTACAGCTATGTTTCAGTTGCTATATCCTCTACATTATTGTAATAAATCCTATATACTAATCATAATCCCAAAAGATCGATTTTAATAATCATTTGCTTCTTTATATGCAAACATCTATACCTCATCTGGTGATGGATGCAAAGCAAAAAGTTCTTTGTGACGGTTTGATTTCCTTTGGTCATCATTCTGACGGTCTATTTCTTCATTTGGAGTTCGATCAAGTAAATTGGGAAGCAAAGCATCAGGAAGTGAATTTTTCAAGTCAAAGATACTACAGGCCCAGCTACCCCTTGGGGTATCATCTATTGACATTGAACGTCTTTTAAGATCATCCTGTCATGCAAAACATTAAATATGAATATATTAATTAACAAATAAATTAACAACTATTTTTAAATAACTTCTTATAGTTATTTAAGAATAAAAGTATTACTTGGTCATCCTGGTAGTTGTTGCCATCTGGAGCTTCATCAGACTCAAAGACCTGTTTTGGTAAACCTTTTTGCCTTTCTTTCTGTTTATCTAATGTATTGGGATTAAATCCTGTTCCCAATTTATGATATCTATTAAAGAAAAAAAGTTAAATAAATATCAACTATCAAACTTTGGAATTTTTTCACTTTTGGGGCATCATTATGTAACTAAGCCAAGTGTTCTCTGCATTATTCATATAATAAGAATCTATTCTAGCAATTTAAGTTAAAGAAAATTTCCATTCTGTGTTCCCTTAACCTAACTAGGGAGTATGAGTTTCCAAAAGCAAATATATTCTCCTTCTTTCCATGACAATCATGTGTATACAAATTAAGCTGCAATTTCAATTCAGAGAATTGGTCAATAAAAAGAAAACTTGGGAAGCTAGTAACTAGGGTTAAAGAATAAAATGAGAAAATAGAAAATATACATTGAATTAAGAATAATATAAAATTTTGAGGTTAAATAGGCCAGGTGCGGTGGCTCACACCTGTAATCCCAACACTTTGGGAGGCCGAGGTCAGACGTTCAAGACCAGCCTGGCCAACATGGTGAAACCCCATCTCTACTAAAACAAAAAAATTAGCTTGGCATGGTGGCCGTGCCTGTAATTCCAGCTACTGAGGAGGCTGAGGCAGCAGAATTGCTTGAACCTGGGAGGCGGAGGTTGCAGTGAGCCAAGATCATACCACTGCACTCCAGCCTGGGTAACAGAGTAAGACTCCATCTCAAAAAAAAAAAGGTTAAATATTTACATATATGCATACAAAATACTGAATCTTAAAATTTCAAATAGCCAAGAAATTTTTTGCTACATCTCATTATCTATAAAAGAGCTTAACTTAAAGCCACAGACTTGTAAATGAAAAACAGCAAAATCTACACCATCACTGTGTACATATGCATATTACTTAACATCACATATATACACACAGTTAGCTAAAAACAACTCTTAAATTAGCGGACTCTTCTTTCTTAACAATCCAGTAACAACCTAATACCCAAGAACATCAAATATAAGCTGATCAAAGAGCAATGATCATTCAGGATTCAACACTAAAGGAGTATTTTAGTTAAAGTAAAACAATAATGTTCACAAGAAGATGGTATGGTTCTCGCTATCACCCAATTCATGAGATAGTGAAGAATCACATTTGATATGAATTACTCACACCCAGTCTTATTATTAAAGCTATTAAAATAGCAATTACATGGTATTAACCATCACAGCATAATCACAAAAGAAAGTATTTTTCTCTGAAAGAACTAAAGACACTTAATATAGTATAACATTAAAGCTATTACTTAGAAGCAGATATCTTAATTTTTAATGGAATGTTTCAAATGCCTTAATTTGTAAAGCTCCACACATAAGCTGCTCTGGTAAATCAGAATGCTACTGAATTATATCCTAAAAAAATGACAATATGAAATTTAAGAAAGCAAAGAATGATTCATGATTCATGATCAATACTCTTCTATATTATCATCCTGTCCTCTAGAAAGTTGCTATGATAAGGCTCTAATAATTACCCATCCAACCACACACATCACCATTTTTCTGACTTGCTTTTTGGCATTATCACTCTCACTTACTGTTCCAGCCACACCGTCCTCTTTGTCTGTTCCTTGAACATTTCTAGTATGCTTTCAATATGAAGCTTTAGCGTGTATTGCTCTTCCCTCTGCCTAATAACATTCTTCCCCCAGAGCTCACTTCCTTCAGGTCTCTGCTCAAAATCACTATCAGTAAGGCTTCCTCTGATTAATTATATAAAACAAAAGGCTCAGCATGGTGGCTCACATCTGTAATCCCAATGCTTGGGGAGGGTGAGGTAGGAGGATGGCTTGAGGCCAGGAATTTAAGGTTACAATGAGGTATGACTGTCCTACTGCACTCTAGCCAAGTAAACAGAGACCTTGTCCCAAGTAAATAACTAAATAGAAACCAAAATAAATTATAAAATAGAAATATTTGTCCCTCTTCTTGGCCTCCTCTATCCACTTCACCCTACTTTTTTCTCCACTTGACTCACCTAGATCATTATCTATTATATATTTATCTGTGTTAGTTTATTGTCTGTTGACAATCTGATCTCCCACTGGTATATGGGAAGAGAGCTGATTTTGTTCACTGCTGTATCATCAGTCTTCAGTACAGTGCCCGGTACATATGAGGCTCTCAATAAACATTTACTGAACAAATAAATAAGTGAAGTACTTTACCATTCTGTGCTAAATCATGGAAGAATTTTGTGGCTTCATCTTACAGCTATTTCACTTTTCAGCAACATCCATACCGCCATTAAGCCCATCTGCTGAGTTTGTAAGATTTCTTCACTAATCAAAATTTTAATTTCCAAAGATAACTAATTGATTTTCATATGGTTAAAATATCCTTTCGCAATTCTCATGTACATTATTCTCATGTATATAAGTACATTCATTACACTTAAAGGTCTTAATCTATGTTCTATTAACTATTTCCTAAATTATTAGTACTTTTATTTGTAGTTGGATAACTCTCTTTCAAGTGTATTGGCTTACATCAAATACTTGGCAATTTGGGGTTCTATCTTAATTTTTTTATTTGTATCCCCCACGTCTGTCTTAAACTACTGTATCTGCTTATCCCAGCCGATATCCAGTGGTTGTGGGGAAAGGGCAGATCACGCCACCAGGCAAAGACTGCCAGTACCTAGTCTTCTGGGTATGAGGATTCCTTCTTCCTCCAAGGTGTGCTCACCCTGGGCACTAACCTATTAGCCTAAGCCTCCACAATTACTGCTCAAAAAAAAAAAAAAAAAAAAAAAAAAAAGGCAGATATCTCTGCTGTCACTGTGCCCACACGGTAGAAGAGGTTTCAAGGTAACCGCATGTCCAGTATTTACCAAGTCTCCCTTTCCACTGCCTGTATTCACTGGTTCTGAGCTTAAGGCACTACTGAAGCTCTTGTATATATCTTCTTAGATTATTCTGGACTATGGTTTTCTCCTACACTCCAATCACATCTATCTTTTTAACTAGAAGTTACCTCGTAACTTCTAGTTCACCAAAAGTACTCCCTTTGGTCTTCCACTTACTAGTGCAAATAATGTATAATATCAAGTATAACAGAAAAAAATAAGAGCTTTAGAATATGATGTTCCTATGTTCCAATCCTGACTACCTTATTTATTGGTTTGTAGGATCTCAAAGAAGTTACTTAACTACTCTGAGCCTGAGCTACCTTATCTGTTAAAACCTTAAATGAGATGAGTGCAAAGTGCCCAGTAAAATGCCCAGAACATAATAAACCCATAAATGTTAATTCTCTTATCCTCTTGCCTAAACCAAGGTTAACAACCCTATGCTTAGAATTAAGTAGGAGATTTCCACAATTCTGAGGTCAATATATTTTACAACTAACCTTTTTATTACGATTTCTGATTACAGGTTTCTAACATATATGCTCAGAGGTAAAGACTTTTGAATTATCTGACAGAGGAACAGTATTCTTCAGTAATGTCTAAAATCTGGCTAGCAGAATACTTATCAAAATTGTAAGTTCATAAAAACAGCTCTTCTATATAAAGGGCAGCAGACTGTGCTTTTATTAGGTCACACTGAAACTAAAAAGCATGTCAGCATTATCCCCCAGTGTGATATTTAGCACTATGTTAAGCTTAGTGAAATAAGACAGCAGCCATGAGGGCAAAACAATAAGCAATGGATATATCACTCTTGCTAGTGCTATTTTGCATAGATTATTTCATGTGTAAAAACTATGTCATAACAGAATTCTCCACTACTTCAATCATATCTCCTTTAGAAAAATAAGGTTAAAAAGCTTCAGTATGAAGACCCTTCTACATTATGCAAATTAGCAAAGGATTATTGTATAAATTAATTTTATTACTTTGATTGTACTTCTTTTATTTTTTTTTCATCAGTTATCATTAGTTTATTATAAAAGAGAGATACGGAAATTATTTACATGATGAAAGATTTCAGAACTTCAGTGGAATGGGCAGCTTCACAATGATGCCATATCAACAGTGACTTATTTCAGTCTAAGTACTTTCCAAGAATATCACCATCTCTAAACAGGAAATAATCCTTGTCATCTAGAACTACTTTGGTGCCTCCATATTCTGGGAGAAGAACTTTAACTCCAACTTTCACGCTAACTGGTTGAATCTCTCCACCCTTTCCTTTAGAACCCAATCCAACAGCGACTACTGTTGCTTGCAATACTTTTCCTTGAGATTTTTCTGGAAGCATAATGCCTCCTTTGGTTATAGTTTCAGCAGCACTCCTTTCAACCAATACTCAGTCAAAGAGTGGGAGAAACTTTCTAAACGCCTGTCCTGCCATGACTCCCTCAGCCTCAGACTCATACTCTCACTTCTTTTATTTTTTGAGACAGAGTCTCGCTCTGCTACCCAGGCTGGAGTGCAGTGGGGCCATCTTGGCTCACTGCAACCTCCGCCTCCCAGGTTCAAGTGATTCTTCTGCCTCAGCCTCCCATGTAGCTGGGTTTATAGGCACATACCACCACATGCAGCTAATTTTTGTATTTTCAGTAGAGACAGGGTTTCACCATATCGGCCAGGCTGGTCTCAAACTCCTGACCTCAGGTGATCCACCTGCCTCAGCCTCCCAAAGTGCTGGGATTGCAGGTGTGAGCCACCACGCCCAGCCTGGACCTCTTAATATGACTTGTTATTCCACAGTTTATTAGGAAAATAAATTGTGGCTAGAATAAAACATTACTTTTTACAAATATTTACTTGATTGGATGTAGAGGTCAAAGACCTATAAATATTAGCTAGAAACAGCAGAGACCTTTCATAGCTTGGTCTGTAAAATGGCCTATTAATTTTAGCTTAGCTATTTAAGTTTCACTAAACTGGATTCTTTTTGAGAAATACAAATTATTCATTAATTTCTACCCATTATTTCCTAAAAGAATTAGACTACAAAATCATTATTATACACTGTTAGTTCTTAATGATTTATAATAATATAAAAATACTATTTTCCCACGAATTAAATTTTATAAAGTAAGTAAAAGTAACTGCAGAATTCCTAAGGAGTAAATACCTATATACAAAGATTCTTCTTTTGTTTCTTCAGCTATTTTGTTTAAATAAATTTTCACGTCTCATAATTATTACAATCTGCCTTAATTCATTTACAAATCTTACTCAGCATTTGTAATGTTGTAATAAATATATAACTTACTTTCTGATGACAATTGCCCAGTCTTCTGTATAACTTCTTATACAGTCTCTAACATGTGGATCCATTTCACTATTTTAAAAAAGAACATATATGTATAACTTAGACAGGACAGCACTGATGTTCATTAATTTGGTTGCTACAATTGTTCAAGTAACAGGAAATGATGATGCTACAAGAAATAGGCTCTAAATAAAATAATGGAAGGTAGCCTTTCTATAGTTACTCTAAAGCCAAAAACAGGTCAATGTCTCCTTACCTTTCTTCAGGTACAGCTGAAACAAGAGTTCTGCAGTCACGAGGACTATAAACAACTTCAATATCATCTGGAGGAAATTCAATCAAATCCCGTAAAGGCCCAGAATCCACAGCCAAAGGATGAGTAATGAGGTAATCTTCCAAATCCACTGGATCTACTGCTTCAGTAAGGGGCACCTTTGTAAAACAGTGGGATAAGAGATGGGGAGAAAATAAGAGGCGAATGTAAGGATTTTAAAACTTAAGGCAAATAACTATTTTTTAAAATATAATAAGTTTTTAATCTAGTTCTTTATAAAATTTTAACAGATATTCAACCAGATGCACTAAAGAAAACACAAAGTGTTAGCCTTCTTACACTCCTTGATGTTTTGGGTCATACTCTCTTTTAACAACCTTGCTGACACTTTGCCCATAACTTTCACATAAATACACTAGTAAGAATTAACAGTTTTATTCTACTTTATAGTTTACAAAGTACTCACTGGCAGGATTCTTTTTGTTTTTTTATATCCTTGGATATATTTTTTAAAAAAGTAAGTTGTTACATTTCTTAACAGTGCTCTTACTTTATTTCTTGTTTTAGTTGATTATCCTAGTAAAAACATATAATCAGACTGGGGTAGGTTTAAAAAACGGCCCTCTAAAAATTCTCCATATTCTAACACATCGGCCCTGTACATGTTACCTTATATGGAAGAAAATAAATAAATAAAATTAAAAACAGTCTTTGCAGATGTTATTAAGGATCTTAAAACTGGGGTATTATACTGGATTATACAGGTGGTTTCTAAATGCAATCAAATATATCCTCATGAGGAGACAGAGGGAGATTTAGGCTATACACAGAGAGAAAAAAAAAAGTTGTATAAAGATGGAAAAAGAGAGAGACTTGAATATTCTGGCCTTAAAGATAGAGGTGATGTGACCACAAGTCAAGGAATGCCAAAGCCATCAGAATTTGGAAGAGGCAAGGAACTGATACTTCACTAGAACATCCAAAGAAAGCACAGCCCTGCCAAAAGCTTATTTTAGTCCAGTGATACTGATTTCAGACTTCTGGCCTCTAGCACTGTGAGAGAAAAGATTTCTTTTGTTTTAAGCCACCCAGTTTGTAGTACTTTGTTACAGTAGCCATAGGAAAGGAATACTCAGGCCCTATTAAAACTATCCCTAAACAATAATAAAAGACTGGTAGCATTCTTTAGCCAAGTTTTTAATAAGATACTTTTTAATAAAATACCATACTTCCTATTTGGTTCAAGAAAGAAAAAAATATTCTGACAAACCTATGAAGGATATATAACAAACATGCAGTTGTAGAAGAATGAAAATAAGAACATGTTATTTCTCAGAATATTCATCTGGAATGAAACACTGAAACCTGCCTCTGTGCAGGTATATACTATCAAATAGAAGGTGCTTTAATCTATGCTTCTTTGGACTGAGCTTTTTTTTTTAGACAGGGTCTTCCTCTGTCACCCAGGCTGGAAATGCAGTAGTACAATTTCAGCATGCTGCAACCTTTGCTTCCTGAGCTCAAGGGATTCTCCCACCTCAGCCTCCCAAGTAGCTGGGATTACAAGTGTGAGCCACCATGCCTAATTTTTTTTTTTTTTGTAGAGACAGGGTCTCACCATGTTGCCAAGGCTAAGCTTGAACTCCTGAGCTCAAGCAGTCTGCCTGCCTCGGCTTCCCAAAGTGCTGGGATTACAGGCATGAGCCATGGTGCCCAGCCTGGACTGAACACTTTAAGATATTGAGTAAAATAATAAATAACACATCTTAAACACTTAAAAGATGGTAGTTATTTATCATTATCAGTATATGCTACCTCATTTAAACCTCCCCCAAACCCTGTAAGTTAGATAAAATTACCATTTCAATTCTACAAATAAAGGCATTTGTGCTTAAAAAGGTTAACTAACACCTGAAAATGAAATAGCCAGAAAAAGGCATGGTAGAAATTTGAAATGGGGTTTTCAAGCTCTAAAATTTTTTCTACAATTTTTTCTCATAAACATTCTATCTCACCTATCCTATTAAATACAAATTACGCTATGATGTTGTTTTTAACAGAGAAAAAGAAAATAATCCAACAGGAAAAGAAAAATCTTCTTTAACCGTTGTTACTAGAACTGGATATCCATATTTAAAAAATAAACCCCAATATTTGTATCACAACATATACAAAAATTAAATTGAGATGGATCACAGACACAAACATACATGCTAAAAGTATAAAGTTACTTGAAGAAAACATAGAGTAATGTCTTTACAGTTTGGAAGTAGGCCAAGTTTTCTTAAACATGAAAAAAGAATGATCATAAAAGAAAACTTGGATTCATTAAAAGACATTGTTAAGAAAATGATTAGGAATTTGAGACCAGCCTGGCTAACATGGTGAAACCTGATCTCTACTAAAAATACAAACAAAAAAAAAAAAAATTAGCCGAGCGTGGTGGTGGACACCTGCAATCCCAGCTACTCTGGAGGCTGAGACAGGAAAAAAACGCTTGAACCCAGGAGGTGGAGTTTGCAGCTAGCTGAGATTGCTCCATTGCACTCCAGCCTGGGCAACAACAATGAGACTCCATCTCAAAAAAGAAAGAAAGAAAATGATTAACAAGCCACACCAAAATATTTACAAAGTGTATTTGATAAAGAACTAGCACTTAAAATATATAAAGAAGTCCTCTATCTCAATAATTTTTTTAAAGCCATACCCTCAAATAAATGGGAAAAAATTCAGTACATAAAAATAGTGCTCAAACATCAAAAGTCACTAGGGGGTACTTTCACTTCTGGGAAAATGAAATAGAAGTACTTTACTCTTTTGACTAAGTACAACAGCCTAGATATTACATAGAAAACAAAAGAAAATTAAGAAAAAGGCTGACTGGCAGGGACATCAGACCCCAAGGAAAGGCATGACAGTGAGTTACTTCAAAATTTCTTTTTACCTTATATATTCCAGACTTAGAACTAGAAAAGCCCACAATGCACAAACACCAAGGAGCACTGGGGGGGTGTGGGGGAAGGAGGACCAAGTGATGGGGAGCCTGTTTTCCCCAGCCAAAAGATCAAGAAAGAAGCAGCCTGACAAAACAAAAAACATTTAGACTATAACTGCTCAAAGGCCAAGTGGGGAGCTCGATTTCTACCCTCACCAAGCTGTAACAAGGCATCCCAACTCTCCCCACCAGGGTAGTATCAGAGAAGCCCAAGTAGGGAGTTCGGATTTTCATAACTACTAAGCAATAATGAGTCTCTTACTCCCATCATGTGCATAGAGACCACTAAGGGAATCTGTTTATCAACTCATATCATGCAGCAACATGGCTCTTCTTTCCTTTGTCATTTGGGCAGCGTCAGAGAAGGTGTAGTGGAGAGTAAGTACTTCCACCAATGCCTAGTAAAACAAGGTCACACACCTCTGGGTGTCAGTGGAGGCCGTGTGAGGAATAGTAAGGAGCACTACAGCCCTTCCCAGCTAAACAGTGTGAGCTGTGGTCCAGTAGAAGTGGGAACTCTCCCTCCTGTTCAACAGTAAGTAACGAGGAGTCCTTCCCCTCCTTGTATACCAAAAGACGACAAATAACAAACCTGAATTTCTACTCCATCTGTCTAAAACAAAATAACATCCATCTATAACTAGGGCAATATCAGAGAAAGCCATCTAAAACATATTTAAGTAAGACCTAGAAATTCACAACATAAAACCCAAAAGGTCTAAGTTCCAATTAAAAATCTCTCATCATACTAAAAACCAGGAAAATCTTAACTCTAATTAATTAAAGTCAATCTATAGATGTTGATACCAAGATAAGAGATCTTAGCATTACATAACAAAGATTGTAAAGCAAACATAAGAAAAATGATTCAACAGCAATTATAAACACTCTTAAAATAAGTGAAAAACCAATAACTCATTAAAGAAATAAAGTCTCAGCACAGAAACAGAAGATATAAAGAAGAACTAAACAGAAATTTTAGAACTGAAAAATACAATAACCAAAATTTAAAATTCAACAGGCAAATACAATAGTAAAATAGAGGGGACAGAGGAGGTAAAAATCAGTTACTTTAAAGAAAGAAAAATCAAAATTATCCAATCTGAACAGCATTAAAAGAAAAACAGACTGAAAAATTTCAGAACAAAAATAAAAATAAAAAGTATCTTCAGGGACAAACCACATTAAAATATCCAACACTGGCATCACCAGAGACCTGGAAAAATGAGGGAAAAGAGGGCAGGACTGAAACAGATCTGAAAAAACAATGGCTGAAAACTTGTATATTTGAAAAAAAGACACAACCCTACAGACTCAAGAAGCTAAGCAAACCTTAAACAGGATAAGGCTAAAGAAACATGTACCATGACACAGCAACCAAATTTAGACTCAAAAAAAAAAAAAAAAAGTACCAGGCACAGTGGCTCATACCTGTAATCCCAGCACTTTGGGAGGCAGAGGCGGGCGGAAGATGTAAGGTTAGGAGTTTGAGACCAGCCTGGCCAACATAGTGAAATCCTGTCTCTATTAAAAATATAAAAATTAGCTGGGCATGGTGGTGGGTGCCTATAATCCCAGCTACTCGGGAGGCTGAGGCATGAGAATCACTTGAATCCTGGAGGCAGAGATTGCAGCGAGCCGAGATCGCATCACTGCACTCCATCCTGGGGGATAGAGGGAGACTCTGTCTCAAAAAAAAAAAAAAAAAACACCTTGAAAGCAGTGAGGGGAAAATGACACCTTACCTCTGTGGGGAAAAATACAGATTTCTCATCAAAAATCATGCCAGTCAAAATAAAGTGGCACAACATTTTTCAAGTGCTGAAAGAAAATAACTGACTACCTGGAATTTTAGATCCTGCAAATACGGCCTGAAGAATCAAGGGGAAGGTGGGGTGCAGTAGCTCATGCCTGTAATCCCAGCACTTTGGGAGGCCAAGGCAGGTGGATCACCTGAGGTCAGAAGTTCAAGGCCAGCCTGGGAAACATGGCAAAACCTCAGTTCTACCAAAAATATACAAAAAATTGGCTGGGCATGGTGGCATGCACCTGTGGTCGCAGCTACTGCAATGGCTAGGGTGGGAGAATTACTTGAGCCTGGGAGGCAGAGGTTGCAGTAAGCTGAGAATGCACCACTACACTCCAACCTGGGTGACAGACTGAAACCCACCACATCTCAAAAGGAAAAAAAAAGAATGAAGAAGAAATCATGACATACTCTAATAAAGAAAAACTAAAGAGATTCTGTCACCAGCAGATCTATTCTAAAAGAAAGGGTAAAAGAAATTTCCTAAACAAAAAGGAAATAATAAAAAGTATCTAGAAGTATTACAAAGGAAAAATAAACAGCACGAGCAAAAAATACAGATAAATATAATAGACTTTCCTTTTCCTTTTGACTTTTCTAAATTGGCCAATATGATTCTAAATGTATATAGAGAAAATGTTTAAGACAATTATATATAGGAGAGGGTAAAGGGATATAGAAATAGGTAAGGTTTCTATACTTTACTCAAACTGGTACTATATTAGCACCAGTACTGTGATAAGATATGTATGTAACACAATACCTTGGACAGACAGTTAAAAAGCTATACAAAAAGGATACTCTCAATGACACTGTAAATCAAAATATAATTCTAAAAAATGTTTAGGTTACCCCAGAGAAGTAGCAAAAGGAAAACAGAGAGATGAAAAATAGAGAATAATCAAAAAATAAAATGATAGATTTCAACCCTAACAGAATATTAAATTATAAATTTATATATTATATTATAAGTGTAAATGTATACAGATAAGAGATTAGCAGAATGGACTTAAAAATATGACCTAACAATGTGGTATTTACAAAGAACTCACTTCAAATAACACAACATAGGTAGGTTGAAAAAGTATGGAAAAAGATATACCAGGAAACCATTAATCAAAAGAAAGCAGGAGTGGCTAAGTTAATATGGGAAAACACAGACTTCAGAACGAAGAACAGTACGAAGAGCAGAACGAAGAATAGAGAAAGACATTACTTGATTGTAAAACGAATGATCCACCAAGAGGACATAGCAATCTTAAATGTGTATGTACTAAATAACAGAGCTATAAATTAGGTGTAGCAAAAACTAACTGAAGAAAGTAGACTTATCACTTATACCTGCAGAAAGCAAGAAATCTCTTTTCTGCAGATTCTAAAAAATCAACAAGGATACAGCAGAATTCAACAGCAACATCATCCAAAAGATCTAATTGGCATTTATAGAACACTTCGCCCAATAACAACAGAATGTACATTCTTTACAAAGGTCCCAAAAGTATACACCAAGACAGACCATACTCTGACCCATAAAACAAACCTCAACAAATATAAAAGAACTGAATCAGACAGAATGTGTTCTCTGACTACAATAGAATCAAACTAGAAAGCGGCAACAGAAAGGTAACAGGAAAATCTCCAAACACTTAGAAATTAAACATACTTCTAAATAATCCATGAGTTACAAAAGTCGGAAAAATGAAATGAAAAAAATACATTGAACTAAATGAAAATACAACATAAAATATGCAAATAAGGAAAATATAAACCAAAAATATAAGTGGGATACCACTTCACACTCATTAGGATGGCTATTATTTTTTAAATGGTTAATAACATGTATGGACAATAATATGAAGAAATTGGAACTCTTGTGCATTGATGGTGGAAATGTAAAATGATACAGTTACTATGGTGGTTCCTCAAAAAGCATACAATAAACATAGAATTACTCTATGATCTAGCAATTCCACTTCTAGGTATACACCTAAAAGAACTAAAAATAGTGACTCGAAAAGATAATTGTACTATCATGTTCATAGCAACATTACTCAAAATAGCCAAAAGGTGGAAACAACCCCAATGTCCATCAAAATTAATAAAGAAACAAAATGTAATATATACATACAATGGAGTACTATTCAGCCTTAAAAAGGAATTAAATCAGCCAGGCATGGTGGCTCACATCTGTAACCTCAACATTTCTGGGAGGCTGAAGAGGATCACTTGAGCCCAGGAGTTCAAGACTAGCCTGGGCAACATAGTAAGACCCTGTCTCAATAAAAAATAAAAAAACTAGCCAGGCATGATGACATGTGCCTGTAGTTCCAGCTACTCAAAAGGCTGATATGGGAGGATCACTTGAGCCTGAAAAGTCAAGGCTGTAGTGAGCTACGATGATACCACTGTACTCAGCCTATACGATAGAGCAAGACCCTGTCTAAAAAAAAAAAGGAATGAAATCCTGACACAGGCTACAACCTGACTATACCTTTAAAACATTCTGCTAAGTAAAATAAGCTAGACACAAAAGGACAAATATTGTATAATTCCACTTACATCAGGTACACAGAAGAGGCAAATTCATAAAGGCAGGGAAGAGAATCTATTATCAGGAGTTGGAAAGTGGGGGAAATGGGAAGTTACTGTATAATGAGTATAGGGTTTCAGTTTGGGATAATGAAAAAGTTCTGGAGATAAACAGTGGTGATGGTTGTACAACACTGTAAATGTATTTAATGCCAGTGAGTTGTATACATAAAACTGGTTAAAATGATAAATATTATGTTATGTATATTTTGCCACTATATATGTTATGTATATAAATATAGCATATAAGTATATATTATACACATATAAATTTAAAATAAAATTCAATGGTTTTTATAATTCAGTGCTTTTTGTCCAGATATTATTTCTAGGGCAGTATACAGCTCAGAATTTAAAATGTCACAAATAAATACTCAGTGAAAATAATGACAAAACCTGGGAAGTCCCTACATATGTCTAATTCAATGGGTTCATGGATTCTAGGTCCTGGTGGTGTGGAAGGACAAATGGAGTGAGAGTACCAGAACAAGAAGGCCATAAAGATTAAGAGGTGGTGATCAGAGAATGGGAAGCATAAAATTGAGATTACACATGGGTTACAGTTATTCATAATGACAAAAATCTAAGGTCTGATTATAGGAATTTTGAATAGCTATGGTGTAATTCAGTATGCAAAAGAGTATCACTGGAAGAGAGACGTTCAAGACACCAACAGCATTTCAGAAGGATTATCTCCATGTACACTGAAATCAGCCAGAAATCCATACATTCTAAAATGTCTCCAATTAGCATGTAATAAACTTCATATTTTCAAATTTTAGTAATACAAACATAAATATATAATTACAAGTCAATCAAACTGTTATTTCCATTTGTTCAGTATCTGGTACCCTTTCACAGCTAAATGGAAAATGCTAATATATAACTCAACCCTATAATGCTTATTTGCTTTTTTAGTTTTCCACAGCATTTAGTAAAAATGACCTCTAATTTTTAAGACAAATGGAGGTATGTTTTTAATTCATATTTCTAACATAATATTAGTTTTTATCAAAACTCATTATTCTCATGCCAGCTTTTTAAATAAGGGAATATTTACGTCTCTGACACAGTACAAGGCTTATGGTAATAAATCAATAAATATAAATTCATTTATTTTTAAGGGGACAGATAATAGTATAAACCCACATAATTATTATTTACTTCGGTGCCTATTCCTAGAATAGATTCTTAAATTTTCACCTTGAGTCTTTAAAAGTTCTAAATGTAGGGCCGGGCCTGGTGGCTCAAGCCTGTAATCCCAGCACTTTGGGAGGCCGAGGCGGGTGGATCACAAGGTCGGCAGATCGAGACCATCCTGGTCAACACGGTGAAACCCCGTCTCTACTAAAAATTACAAAAAATTAGCTGGGCACGGTGGCGTGTGCCTGTAATCCCAGCTACTCGGGAGGCTGAGGCAGGAGAATTGCCTGAACCCAGGGGGCGGAGGTCGCGGTGAGCCAAGATCGCGCCATTGCCCTCCAGCCTGGGTAACAAGAGTGAAACTCCGTCTCAAAAAGAGAAAAAACTAGTTGTAAACAATTTGTACTCTTTCTCTAAGGAGCTCAAATACAAATAACTTTGTGCAGTGTTCCTGAAAGAGAGAGAGAGATAGTGAACCTAAAACCAAGCCTGAAAGAAAAACAACATGCAGATTTGCCTACTCATAGAGACTTTGCCTATTAAGTATACCAAATTAAAACTCTTGTTCACCTTCTTTTGAGAGTTAGTAATCTTTTGCTTGGTTATACTAGGCTAGGAAGTAATATCAAAGCCCTTAAATTCTTAAGGCTAAAGACTTGAGATTATGTAAAATTATCCAGAATCATTCAACTAATACTATTGGAATATAGTATGTAGGGTGAAAGTTGACAGAAATCTGTACTACTTCAGGAAATCCTCAATTGTAATTATTTTTGAGCATTAATGAAAACCTTATAAAATAGAAAGATTAGAAATCAGCATTGTTTCCTATTATCCACAATATGGATACTTATTTGGTGACCTAGTTAAGGGAGAATTAAGTAAAGTTAGTTATTTTATATAATACCATAAAAATATTTTCTTAAGAAACTGTCGGGGGGAGGGAGCTGGGGAGGGATAGCCTGGGGAGAGATGCCAAATGTGGGTGAAGGGGAGAAGGGAAGCAAGGCACACTGCCATGTGTGTACCTGTGCAACTGTCTTGCATGTTCTGCACATGTACCCTAAAACCTAGAATGCAATAAAAAATTGAAGAAAAAAAAAAAAAAGTTCTAAATGTAAAATTCCAGGATTGATTAAATCCTGACTATAAAGTTTCAGAGTTGACTAGGAAATCAGCAATTCTATAACATCCCCTAACATCCTCTTCCAAGTCAGATTTCAACAAAATGAGGTAACAAGAAGTAAGATTATGAGACTAGTGATGGTACCCAATTAGCTCCTATCTTTCCACTATTTTTTCATGGCCTAGTCAGTCACACACCAATAACATACTATAGTCTGAATACGTTACTTACGGTGGTATGATGGGATATATTGCCAACAATATTAAGGTTTTTGAGCAGTTGGGGAGAACCACTATATTGACCGGAGATCTGCTTCCTAACTTCAGCTGCCACCGTTCTATAATGAAGAAAGCAAAAACATTATACACATTATTTTTTTTAAAAGTTAAACTAGTTTAAAATAGAGGGAAGCTAAATACATTCCAGATTCATTTAAAGAACAAATAAACTCAGCATATCAATAAGGCTATAAATTCATAAAATACTTTAGGAAATACTTTACTAGCTTATAATTACATTAGAACACCTTATAATGTTGATGTAGGGTAGAAGAGTGACAGACAACTTTTATGAGGCTTTTATATAGCATTTTGGGGAACACACTTTGGCCCATGACAGCGCTGGAACTATAGAGCTGGCTCTATAGTTGGAATCTATAAAACAACATATATATTAAAATATGTATATACTTTATAATGTATATACTTTAAAGTGTGATAAGAATTAGTAATAAAAAAACTCTGGAGTGTTTTCAAGCTAATGATTTAATTCAAAGCCCTGATCATCCTGGTCCCCATTAGAATTTCCAGCTGAGTTTCAAGATAATCTCATTTTCCTAAAAGTATCCAGATTTAGGATATAATCTTTTCTCCTACTTCTCTTCTTCAATTCCTCCTTCCTTCTTTCATATTCAGTAATTTCACACACATTTACTAAGCATAGTTATGAGCCAACTATACAATTAGAAATGTTTACACAAAAATAAGAGTTATCATTCTTTAAGGCTTAAGATACTGAATTAGCTCAACCTTTTTTATGTAGGTGATTTGAGGTACTTTACATAGTATTTGTGTTTTAAAAGGCTAACTTCCTAGTCATAATTGCCAAACCTTGGAAGCAATCAAGCTATCCTTAAATGGGTGAGTGGATAAACTGTGTGACAGCTATACAATGAAATATTATCCAATGATAAAAAGAAATGAGTTATCAAACCATGAAAGACATAGAGGAACCTTAAAAGAATATTGCTAAGTGAAGGAAGCCAATCTGCATGATTCCAACTATCTGATATTCTGGAAAAGTCAAATCTATGGAAGACAGTAAAAAGACCAGCTCCCATAATTCCCATGTGTTGTGAGAAGAACACAGTGAGAGATCATTGAATCATGGGGGCAGTTTCCTCCATACTGTTCTCGTGGTAGTGAATAAGTCTCACGAGATCTGATGGTTTTAAAAGGGGTATCCCCTTCTGCTTGGCTCTCATTCTCTCTTGCTTGCCACCATGTAAGATGTCCCTCTGCTCCTCCTTCTTCTTCTGCCATGATTGTGAGGCCTTCCCAGCCATGTGGAACTGGGAGTCCATTAAACCTCTTTCCTTTATAAATTTCCCAGTCTTGGGTATATCTTTATTAGCAGCATGAGAAAAAACTCATACACAAGATGTTTCAGACAATGAAACTATTCTGTATGATACTGTAATAGTGGATACATGTCATTATATATTTGTTAAAATTCACTGAATGTACAACACAATGAACCTGTTTAATCTATGGACTTTAGTTAATAATAATGTACATCAATATTGGCTCCTCAGTTATCAAATGTACCACACTAATGCAAGATGCTAACTGGAGAAATCCAGGAGAGAAGGGAGGATGTATAAGAACTTGCCATACTTTCCATTCCTTTGTCTGTAAACCAATAACTGCTCCCCCAACCAAAAAAAGTCTACTAGTTAAAAGAAAAAAGTTAATGACAAAGTAGGAAGACAAGAGCACCAAGGCACCAAAAAAGAAACAATAAGAGGTTAGAGCTGAAATCTGGAAAGGCAAAGAAATCTTTGAGAGGGAAAACAGACTGAGGAGAGAGAAAGGGCAAATTATGTAATCCTCTGTGTGAAGACAGGAACATTCACTTCAATTTAGGGTTCCGGCTAGCTGGCAGACTGGCTGGCTGATTGACTAATTGATTATTTAATTTAGAGGAGTGTCACTGTTACCCAGGCTGGAGTGCACTGATTGATTGATTGATTGATTGATTGATTGATTATTTAATTCAGAAGACCCAGGCTGGAGTCCAGTGGTGCAATCTCAGCTCACTGCAACCTCCACCTCCCAGGATCAAGCGACTCTACTGCTTCAGCCTCCTGAGTAGCTGGAATTACAGGCATGCACTACCATGCCCAGCTTTTGTTTTGTTTTGTTTTGTATTTTTAGTAGAGATAGGGTTTCACCATGTTGGCCAGAAGTCCTGACCGCGGGTGATCCACCCACCTTGGCCTTCCAAAGTACTGGGATTACAGGCGTGAGCCACTGTACCCGGACTAATTCCAGCTTTTAAGGAAGCCCATATAATGAGAGTTTTCGTTATTATGTTTAGCTTGAAGTCCTTACATATCCCGATCCTCTCATCAAAGCTGAGATAAGAATATGTAAAAGCCTTTAAAAAGACACAAAATAAACATTCTGTCTACCTACCTCAATTCTACCCAACTCACTCCACCAATCTCAGCACTAGCTCAATGTTTCTGGGGCTAAACCATGAGTAAACTGAATAGTAAACTGCTGTATTTCATCAAATTCAAGATAACACTAATTGTTAAGAGGTGACATTACTCCACATACACTTAATAAATAAAAAGCCAATCAATCATCGTGACATCAGTTAATTGAAGATTTCAGATGTTAAAATGTAAAATTTTAAATAGTTACTTCAAAAAGAAGCAATCTTTTGTTTAATAACAGACATAAAAATGATAATCCTCATATTAGAAATATCTTTTCTATGACATTAATTTCCCCAAAAATGAAAACCCGTAATTTGAAAACAAGCTGTGATAATGCAACAAGAACCATTTCCAAACTGAGCTATAGTAGCCATAAAAATATGTGCAACTCAAAGGATGTATTTACAACTGAGATCTTTTTTTTTTTTTGAGACGGAGTTTCGCTCTTGTTACCCAGGCTGGAGTGCAATGGCGCGATCTCGGCTCACCGCAGCCTCCGCCTCCTGGGTTCAGGCAATTCTCCTGCCTCAACCTCTTGAATAGCTAGGATTACAGGCACGCGCCACAACGCCCAGCTAATTTTTTGTATTTTTAGTAGAGACGGGGTTTCACCATGTTGACCAGGATAGTCTCGATCTCTTGACCTCGTGATCCACCTGCCTCGGCCTCCCAAAGTGCTGGGATTACAGGCTTGAGCCACCGCGCCCGGCCAACAACTGAGATCTTCTGCACAGATCTCATAAAATGGTAGTGAAGAAATCTTCCCGATCGGGCGTGGTGACTCAAGCCTGTAATCCCAGCACTTAGGGAGGCCAAGGCGGGTGGATCACGAGGTCAAGAGATCGAGACCCACTGGTCAACATGGTGAAACCCCGTCTCTACTAAAAATACAAAAAATTAGCTGGGCATGGTGGCGTGTGCCTGTAATCCCAGCTACTCAGGAGGCTGAGGCAGGAGAATTGCCTGAACCCAGGAGGCGGAGGTTGCAGTGAGCCGAGATCGCACCATTGCACTCCAGCCTGGGTAACAAGAGCAAAACTCCATTTCAAAAAAAAAAAGAAATCTTCCCAGATAAAAAAAAACTGTACCTCTTAACCTTATCATGATCCAAAGTATGCAAGAGAAAAATGTAATGAATAAATATAGGCCCTGATACCAGTTAAAATCCTTTATCATAGGTTACTATTTCCAATCAGATTTTTTCTTACTCCTAGTGATAGCTCAGAAAAAAAAACAAGGAAGTCTTTTTCACTTCTAATAAACCGTTAATATAATTGCAAAGTAGAAAGAATAGGTCAAAAATTCTGTACTTATGCCCCTAAATTATAAAATGAAAAAACCTTCTATCCCTCCCAAGAAAACATGATCCAATATTTGATCCATTTATCTCTTTATCCACTCTCTCCATTCCTACAAGCTACCTATGTTAACACATATTACAGTTTTCACAAAAGAAAGCATCTGCTCAAGCCATTCATCAGAGGATACTGGAAATAACCAGGAAAAAAATCACATTATGAGAGCAAATTATGTTGCATTTAACCTTTCCTCTAACCCACTCCTACTTTCAGAGACACCCTGTCTAGTCATGATTTCCAGAATGAACCAAGGGTGATAAGGCCAATCTGGCCCTGCCTCTCTCATCTCTGATCATTCTTCATGGGACCAGAAATAAAGCCTAAGTAAAGATGAGTAAGGAGAGTTCATACTACACTCATAAGAAAGTTTAGTTGAGCTACTCCTATAAAGTCACAGAAAAAAAGTAACTGCAATGTACTAATAAGATGCAATGTATCAAGTAAGATAATAAGATCTCTTGGAACTAGCACTATTTGTATCTAAGATAGAAGTCAGGGAAGAAATGAAGGGTAAAGGATGTATCAGGGACAAAGAAAAAAAGGGTTTGCTAAATATCTCCAAAAGAAAAGAAACAGAGCAGCGGACACTCCAGTACTGTAGCTATCCAAGTTCAAGACTGGTGAATGATGGATCGTATCGGAGTTCCAACACTGTGTATGAGGTGGTATTAAAGATAAAGAAAACAAGTGAAACCCACCTCTACTAAAAATACAAAAATTAGCTGGGCGTGGTGGTGGGTACCTGTAGTCCCAGCTTCTTGGGAGGCTGAGGTAGGAGAATCCCTTGAACCTGGGAGGCAGAGGTTGCAGTGAGCCGAGATCATGCCACTGCACTCCAGCCTGGGTGACACAGCAAGACTCCAGGTCTCAAGAAAATAAACAAATAAAGATAAAACAATACACTACACAAAAACAACACAGTAACACCTACTAAGTATTTGCGCCAAAAAATGTTTAACCTGAATTGAATCAAACCTTTACATCTAACTTCCAGTTTACGGGGTAATACAGAGGACAGTGTAACAATAACACTGTAAGGAAGTCATCAGACAAAAACTAGAAGGCAGGTCATGCTATGTGCCAAAATCTCTTCAACGGTTTAATATGGTAGGTAAATTTAAAAGTAAAGGCAGTGAGCTAAGTTTCAATGTAAAAAAGACTTAAGACCAAAAGACAGGCTGGGCGTGGTGGCTCACAGCTTTAATCCTAGCTCTTTGGGAGGCTGAAGCAGGTGGATCACCTGAGGTCAGGAGT